TGTGCAAAATGTGTACTATATTGGTAAATGCATATTATTATAGAATAGTAAAATAATATCTTTTATTTCTCTCCATTTAACGACCACTCTTTATAACGCCGAAAAATGTTCAGTCCCTTAAGTGTCGTCATATAGAGTTTACACTGTATATGTCACGCTTAAAAAAAAAATTAAAAGTATTTAAAATTATCATATTACGTCTCGATTGATTGATTTATTTATAAAAGAAAAGATATTTTCTTCGCATTTTACCAGTATCGTACAGGTATGCAATATGTACGTACATTATTACAACACGTAACAATTCGAAAGTATACTTCGTTTACTTTCTCTAGCGATGTGCCCCTTTCAATGTCTTGGAAGCGCGCTAGCAAAATCGTAGGTAGGGAGAAAAAAGCTCATTATACTCTCGACTCTTGTTCATTAAACATATACTTTTTCATACAGTACCTGTCAAAAGTTTTGTTCAATCATAAATAGAAGTGCGAGTCGAAAACAAGCGTTAAAGCCTTTAAAATGTCTTTAAATATAAATAAACATCTCGTTGATATTTTCAGTAGTAATTGGTACCAATAACAGCACATTTGATACATATACATATATCTTTTATTAGCAGTACCCCGAGCGCCTTAGCGCTTTAATAACTCCGTCGACAGATGTCGCAACGATGAACTTACAGGAAGAACAGTAGTTACTTTTGTAAATTTGGAATCGTTTTCAGGTGTTAACGGAATTGTATCATAAAGAACAAAAAGGCACCAATAGTAGCACAATGAATAACAAGCCTAACAATTTCTAAATGATAATTTAATGCATGTAAGCGATAGTGCAATGACAGCTCGGAGTGGTTCCCACAGAAGATTCACAATTTTAAAATCACTAAGTACCTATAATAAAAAAATAGGATAAGAAAAGGAGGCATTTTCATCGTGGCATTCACAAATCTAGTTAATTTTCTTAAGGGTGTATGATTTTTCACTACAATTTTTTCATCTTCGTTAAGCACGAAAACGTATGGTACAATAATACAGCTACACAATTAAATTAGCGACGGTAGGTACATGCATAATTTTTTACTACGTTATTGAAGGTCGGGAGCAAGCTGAAACATTTGCTCATTTGATAGGTATCATACGTTGTATTGAAGACGGTCAAAATTCACGCTTTCAGAATTTAAATTACAGTCGACTCTCGTTAATTCGAAACTCGAGGGCTCTTAAAATATTACGAATTATCGAGTGTTTGAAATATCAAATGGTTCGAAATTTTTGAGAGAAAATAAATAAAATCAAACAAACCAATTCAAGCAGAAGTGTGTGTCAAACTAATTATAACAAAAACAAAAGCTCGATGAGACGATGATAAATGTTTGAAATTGCCATAAAATGTATGTATGTACTTACAATCTTTCTGTCTCTTTTTTTCTGCAACTTTGAACTGTAGTATTTGACGCCGAGTTCGAATTAGCGCGTCATTTTGTTACGTAGCAATGATTTTTTCGTTAGAATTACCAAGTGCATAAAAATGTATTGATTTAGTTCGAAATGTAAAGAGATTTTGTAGGGAACTCGTGATAACTTCGAATTATAGAAAGGTTCGAATTATCGCAGGTTCGAATTAACGAGAGTCGACTCTATATAATGGGAGCATGATGTGACCTTTCCTCTCGAATGGCTCACAACTCATTAATACACTGAGACTCAGCCACCGCTGGCTTGTTTTGTTTAAAATTTCTTATTAGAGAGCCGCCCCTGGTACAATGTACATTAACATACGTACACATGTATTGTACCTAACATGTAGCGCTTTATGATATGTGGTTGGTTGGACGTGAAGCTGTAGCTGCTACAGTAGGTGCGCTAACATTGAAAGAGCAAAGCTTCCACTAAGCCGGGACCGGAGAAGAAAGACTGCTAATAGAGCTTTCCGAGCTTTCAGCGACTCAAACCCAATTCATGATCCAATAACAAAAGACAACGATATTACCGCCGGCCGCAGTAGCAGTAGTCGAGTAGAGCCTGCTTAATGCCGCTGTTGCCGCCCTCCCCCGTAATGCCGTCGCCGCCACCGCCGCCGCCGCGATGGACAAAGACCCCTCGAACAAGGGGACGGCAAGAGGCGGCAGATGAGACACTGCCAATTTACAACGTTTTGTTATCTTCGAGCTCGGCTTTTTCTCTTTTCGATTCGTTTTTAAAGCTACTTCAACTACACACTATGCGCTGATACTCACTTTGCTACTGTCACTGTTACCAGTTGGTTTATTAATTAGATAACATCCAAGATTATCCAATAAGCAAACAATTTCGATTTTTAAAAAAACGGATAAATAGAAAGTAATATTATTTTTATATCTTCTCCTATTTAACTTTTCAAAAGGGTTTTATTAGATCTACAAATCCTATCTACTGTTCGTTTCAAGAAGTTTGAGATATGCCTGCGCCGTAGTATAATTCCAAATTCAATTATATTTGTCTGCGGAGCTCATTTCTTCACCGATCATCGAGCGAGAACTACATAAAAGTGTACAGTACCATTTGCAAAATTATTTAAACTGCCTCGTTAAAATTTAAGAATATGCTTTATTTAAAAGCATATTTAGCCAAGTGAATTTATTTAACGTTCTACACACCTATAAAACTTTTGCTTTGTTTTCTATTGTTAATTTATATACATTTTTGTTTTAAGAAATTGCTAAACATTTTCGTCTAGTACTGTACAGTTCTAGTCGATCTCCTAAGACCGCCCATCGAGAGTTCTGCTCGTTCAAGCTTGTTCCAACTATTTCTGTCTTGCTCACGCCTAGTGTGTATTCTTTCTATCTTCGCGCAGATTTCTTCAAGGTCACAATTCTAACAAATCGAAATAGACTGTACGTATGCGCTTATTATTTAACCCTAATATTAAATGACCTCTCACTTTACTATGAGTGACGAGCAAAGCATGATCAAGACTTAGAGCGTCCCAGTTATCACATTGATCTTGTGCTTGCTTATTCAGTCTTGACCTTGATCTGATATATTTTCGGTCTTGGTCTTGATCATGCTGATATAGTCTCGATATTGGTTAAGTCTTGTTCACAATAATTGTATTAAATGCTGAAATTGTCTGTCATACATGCGAGCTTGTTATGACTTTTAAAGAAAATAGTGTTGATAGTGTAAGAGTTACGAAAACTCGAAAACTTACCCTTCCACCAGTGTATAAATTGACCCTTTAGCGAACAAAATAGTAAAAGGTACCTGAAAGAAGTAAAAAATATCGGAAAAAATTAGTTTGGCTATGAATTTCAACCATCTATTATCTAGACATATGAACAAAGAACACTTACTCCTGTAGATCCCTTTTTCCAAACAGTGGTAAAGTTTCTTTCTTATATACAGTAGAACCTCGATAAAATAAAGACCAAGGGAAACGTAAAATAATTTGAGTTATTGAGGTTTTTACTTACTAAGGGTTTAAGTTTAAGGTTTAAAAGTATGGATTTTCAGTGACTTAGTAAACTCTTTTGCTTTTTCCTTTAGTATACGTCCGCTAACACTAATGTTTCTACATATTTCTACACTGTCTAAACCTTGTAAATTAGCATTTTTCTAAATTAGGAAATTGAGCAATTCTTCGTCTTTTACATAGAAAACTTTCTCCCGATTCAAACCACTTTTCACTGCTTACTGAAGCGCGATGCCCAAATTATTCGTTAAAGTTATAGAGGGTTTTTATTTTAAGTAATAGAGGTTTTGGACTCCGAGGGAAAGGGAACACAAAATTTTATGAGTTTATAGAGGTTATTACGTTATCGAGGTTTAACTTATCAAGGTTCTACTATATTTAGTTAGTGTATATAGTAAAGCAAACTGAAAATTTCAAATACTAAAAATGTTTTGTTCCAAAAAAATAAAATATTAAAGTTGCTTCAAACAGTTTAACTCATAAATTCACCAGAAGTAATAATTTTTCGTTTAGTCTTGCATATTTGGTCTTAATTTTAGTCTTGGTTTTGGTGGTTCGAGTTTGAACTTGGTCTCGGTCTCGCATTTTCGCGTTTGAGGGGAGGTGGCAAATCGAGTGACGCCCGTGAGTGCTGAGTTTTAAGTATACTCCCAAACATACAATCGCGTTTTAACAAAAATATTTCAACTTTGTTACTAGGTATCATTCTTATTAGATTAAGGCATGAATTATTGATTGGCAGGTACATCTTGATGTGCACTAAAGTCTTATCGGATTAGAAACTAAAAACGATAAATATAACTAACTACCGAAGCATTAAGTTAAAAACCTATTAGCCTTAGGTCAAGACATTTAATTCACCATGTAAGCGTCACATTCCGCCTATACGATTACTTAGTGGCTAACGTAAACAGTTTCGTTTTTACTAGTTATCTAGCCTCATTTGAACATTTACGAATTTTACCAGTTATGCCCTTTGTTGACATTTTATTTACGTTTTTGAATAATGTGTAGTCACAACAGAAACGAGAAAAATCTTTAAATTAGTTTCTTTTTTAATTGTGCTTTTTTGAATTTTTACGGTATGGAATCCTTATCAATCTGAAGCTGCGATTATATTTTTTACAAGAATTGTCGAAAATTATGAAATCTTCAAACTCCACGTGTACTTTTTTATAGTGTAGCAGGTACTACAGATAATACAGATTAAGAAAGGAACCACTATTTATACTGAAATCATAGAATCTAATGCCACAAATTGAATAATACTGTAACATTCCGCTCATCCAAATTGTTTAGAAAATGGTGTATTATACGTTAACAACAATTAGTTTTCTCATAGCAAGTGTTGCTTGTGAGCCACTTATCTTAACCCCACTGATCAAGAGTAACAGAACCAGCGAAGCACTATCTGCATCAAGGGTGAATTATTCTCCTTTTGGAAAAGCCGTCAGTTATTCAGGTTTCTTTACGGTTAACGAGAAATTTAATTCAAATATGTTCTTTTGGTTCTTCCAATCAGAGAACGATTACAGAAACGATCCAGTGATACTATGGCTCCATGGAGGACCGGGACTAAGTTCTATGGTAGCTTTGTTTGTACAAAACGGTCCCTTTAAATTAACTAGCAACAATAGCGTACAATTTCGACAAGAATCCTGGACCAAAAATCATTCCGTTCTATATATTGACAATCCTGTTGGAACTGGATTCAGTTTTACCCAAGATGATGCTGGATTTGTTCGTGACGGAAACTCAACGGGGGCAGACATCTACGAAGCATTGGTGCAATTCTTCAAACTGTTTCCTGAACTTCGGAAGAACAAATTTTTCATGGCCGGCGAATCTTATGCTGGAAAATTTATTCCAGCTGTAAGTCACGTTATACTGGAAAAAAATCCCAAAGCTGAAGTCCCAATTAATCTCGTTGGAGTGGTAATTGGTGGTGCCATCTGTGATCCAGTCAATCAGCTGTACTACGATGAGTATTTATACCAGATAGGACTGATTGACCTGAACGGTAAGACACAATTTAGAGAACAGGAAGAAGAAATAATTTCTTTAATAAAAAACGAACAGTGGTCTCAAGCATTGGATGCATATCGTCTACTTATCAATGCCAATCTGACCACGGCAACTCTGTTTATGAATCTAACCGGCTTTACTAGCACCTTTAACTACTTGGTTCCAAACAATACAGGATTGCTAAGCGAAATAGGTCGTCTCAGTCAATACCTACAAAATCCAAACGTCAAAAATGCAATCCATGTGGGTAATTCTAGTTTTAATATCATTAACAACACCGTTCAACTGAAACTAACGGATGACTATATGAAATCTATCGCACCTTGGTTGAGTGAGCTGATGGACAACGTGCAAGTTCTAATTTACAGTGGACAATTGGACATCTTATTTCCGTACAGTCTTGTGGAGAATTACCTGAGACAGTTGACATTCAAAGATGTACAATTGTACAAAAACGCAAAAAGGGAAATATGGCTTGTTGATAACGAGGTGGCCGGATACAAAAAACACGCGGGAAAGTTTACAGAAGTTTTGGTCAGAAACGCCGGTCATCTGTCTATAGTGGATCAACCTAAATGGTTACTTAACCTAATTATGAACTTTACACATTCGTAAATATGTTTGAAATTTTATAATTTCTATTCAAAAACATAATTGCAAACAGTATTGCAATGAAGTTTAAACGTTAGTAATAATTGTAACTGTAAGTATTCGGTTATACGTAAATAAGTGGCAGAATTAATATGCTAGTTGTTGGATCGTATAGTCCAAATAAACGCAAAGATCCATACGTTTCGTTGACAACTGCCGCCGACATCTTCAGAGGATAGTGTGTTGACAGCATGCGTGAATTTTAAAGTGTTCATGCAGTGAATTTTGCTTTAATAATAATACAATACTGTAAATATCAAAATTTTAATGTTAGATAATGTATGAGTTAGAGTGAATATTGAATATAGACATTTAAATGCGTTTATCTCTTAGTTTTCTTTAGTTGTAACGGCGATTTGCAACTAAAAACTCATTTAATTATTATGTAATATAAGTTGCACCTAGTAACGAAATGTGGAGGTCCACTAGGGAAAAGACCGCAAACTAGACGGGAAGACGAAATAATAAGGACCGCCGGTCCCACCTGGAGCCAAGTAGCACAGGACCGAGAAAAATTGGCATCTTTGGAGGAGGCCTTCACCCAGTTTGGGATTCTTGCAGAAGAAACGTCAAATGAATAGATCCAAAACTTAGAATTACTAACAATTACTTTATAAGTATACTTATTAACTAATATTAATAATCGGAATTCTAATATTTTGGTTAGATATTTTAATAGTTAGCTAATTCTACAATATCGTTTTATGAGAAGAGATGTAGTCGCACCGATTATGTTTACAAGGCCTAAACGCCTTCTTGACCGTTTTCATTCGCTAACATCTTCTAAATTTAAATTTTACAAAAACCTAGACGTTTTAAAGTTAAGTCAATCATCTCTACGACATTTCAAGCAAATTTTGCCGTTATTAGGATTCCGTACTTCAAAAGGAAAAGAGGAACCTTTTAACTTTAACTGATGAGTTACGATGATGAGTTACATCAGTTACGACTCAGCACCTGCCCAGACACTACTGAAGATGCCGTCAGTAAAGAACGGCGAAACGTCTAGAAAAGCAAGATTCCACGGACCACGGCCAAAACGCCCGGAAGAAAACGCAGCATCGATAGACGCCGGCCGTGAAAACCTAAGAACTTTATAGGCTCACTTCGTTGTCCGTCTGTCTGTCAAAATCCTTTTTCTCGTCGTTTATGTCGCATATTTCGACTCCCGAGAGAATCAAAATCTATAAAATAATTCTCGTTGATCTAGAATCAAATTAAATTTGACAAGAAGTAAAACCGTAAATTTGTGGTTATATATACTTCACAAAAAGAACATTTTTTTAATTGTGATATTGTAATTATACGTTTTAGGGACTGATTTGACTGGGGGGAATATTACAACATACTCGGAAAAAGCCGGAAAAATATTGAGACCCGATTCCCGTGACGGTCGAACTATGTACTAGGGATGTTTCCAAAGTTCTGGGAATTGTGCTATAATTAAATTACGCAGAACTTATAGGCAATGCTATTGGTACAAGACAAGTCTTGACATGTTTATGCAACTATCTAGTGTAATATTGTTCAATCTGATTTAGGTATTCCACTGATATAAACGCGTCTTCATATCACTGTTTTTGTAACCTTTAAAAAACGCAGCAAAAATTCAATGAGATTTGTGGAAAGAAGGTGTGAGAGGTCAGAAATTATTAAGCATCTGCAAGGAGTATCTGGTGAGTCTGCATAATCCAAAAGTACTGTTTATCGGTGGATCAGTCGTTTTAAAACCGGTAGAACATGTCGAAGACTTAGTGAAAGAGAACAGTCGAATGACTTTTCGTCAAATTAGTGTGCGCCTAGTGATAGGTACAGGACAAGTTTATGACATCTTGCATGATTGTTTGGGCGTTAGCAAGGTTCCGGCGCGCTGGATGCCAAAGCTGTTGGAACCAGAACAAACATTCAATAGGTCTCATAGTTGTCGTCAACTTTAAGAACTGTTAGCTCGTTACGGTGATGAATTTTGGAATTTTGGCAAGAATAATAACCACTGACGAAACGTTGATTCCTTATTTCAATCCTGAGACCAAAAGTCAATCCAAAGAATGGCGCAAACCTGAAGAAGGGCCTCTACTGAAGGCACGTGCAGTTCCGTCTGTTCGAAAGGTAATGCTTAGTGTATTCTGGGATTGCGAAGGGATTATTTTAATGGATTATCTGGCAAAAGGTACTACAATTAAAGCAGAATATTATTCGAATTTAATATCTGGACCACTGTGACAGGCAGTTGTCAAAAAACGGCCTGTAAAGTTGCATAAGCTTCCATAATTGCAACAGGATAATGCAAGACCACACACCACAAGAAAAATGGAGGATGTTTTGAACGATTTACGATGGGAATTGTTTCCGCACCCACTTTATTCCCCGGATCATACACCCAGTGATTATCATCAGTTCCCAGATTTGAAAAAATCCTTACGGGGCGTTCGATTTGAAAGTTTAACTGACGTATAACTTGCCATCAATAGGTGGATTGAGGAGACACCGAAAAAGTTCTTTGATGACGGCTTAAAAAAATTAATTTTTCAATGGGATAAATGAATTCAGTTAAATGAAGATTATGCTGAAAAACTACATTGTAATATTAACGAAAATTAGTGTCCGACCGAAAGTTCGGTATCGGTTTCGGTTTCGGTCGAGTTTCGGCAAAAAAACGAGTTTCGGTTTCGGCGGCAAACCTGCCGAAACTACGACCGATACCGAAACTGCGTTCGGGAGTTCTCGCGCTCTGCTCGGTCATGTTCGGCGCGTTAAATTCCATCCAAGCGAAGTATACTATACTTACTCAAATAAACATCTCACCTATTTTAAGTATTTTTAAGGCGCAATTAAAGTATTTCCTTAAATGAGGGGTTGTTATGTTGATTTTGATTTGATTATCAATAAGTGAAAATGTCAAAGACTGCA